AGAGAGGAAGGGAAAAATTAACTCAGAGAAATAGGGGACAGTGAATGGTGAGGAAAACAGTAGGATAGAATATTTATCACAGGTTTAGTCAGAATGATCCGGGAAAGAACTTGAGAAATCCATATAGTTTGAGTGTGTTTTTTTTAATTTTAACAAATTTCAATTTTAACAAAATCCATGACAGCTGTTAAGCCTGTCTGTCTGCAATCCACAGGCATAGCAACCAGTGCTTATGTGTTATGTTAGAAAGTTTCCCTAGTATTTAAGATAAGTCTCACTTGCATTAAATATTATCCTGTCCATTGTGTCCATTTACGAAGGGAAGGAATTCAATATAAAACCTAACACAAGACAGGAAGCCAAAGGAAGGCAAATTGTGCTCTGTCTGTGTGTCTTCTTGTCTTCATCATCTAACTGACTACACCAACTTCCTTTCCTCCCTATGACTTTGTAAGGGCCAGGGTAGATAGATTGAAAAATTGACTAAGATGAACTAGTCTTTATTAGTAAGAGTAGGATAAACTCCGGGAATCATAGAATTTTAGGGGTTGGAATGGACCTTACAGATCATCTAGTCCCAACCCCTGCCATGGGCAGGGACACCTCCCACCAGAGCAGGTTGCTCAAGGCTCATCCAACCTGGCTGTGAACACTGCCAGGGTTGGGGCTTCTACTACCTCCTTGGGCAACCTGTGCCAGTGCCTCATCACCCTCACAGGAAAGATTTTTTTCCTAATATCTAACCTAAATGTCCCTCTTTCAATTAGTACCCATTGCCCCTTGTCCTCTCACTGCAATTCCTAACACAGAGTCCCTCTCCAGCTTCCCTGTAGCTCCTTCAGGTACTGGAAAGTTGCTATGAGGTCTCCACACAACATTCTCCTCTCCAGACTGAACAACCCCAACTTCCTTAGTCTGTCAAATGAATGAACCAGATCCTACAAGATTCTTTGCCTCTTTGTCCTCCTGGCACTTAAATTGGCACTGGAGAGATTCGGTATCTTGTAGGACTGTACAAACTGATTTTTTCTTTATGCATTGATGTTGGGTTTTTCTCTCCACCACTTGTCTCTGCAATTATCAGGCCAGCACCAAGTCAAGCAAGGGACATGTGAAGTTGTGGCTGTTCATCGTTGCTGCAACAAGAACCGGATTGAAGAGAGATCCCAAACTGTCAAGTGTTCCTGCTTCCCTGGGCAGGTGGCTGGGACGACCCGGGCTCAGCCCTCGTGTGTGGAAGGTAAGGAGCCCCCTACTCACTCCTGGTTCATTAGGATTGTTTGAGAAGTTTAGTCTCCTTGATGTTTGACTTCCCGCTGCCTCAAAAGCATAATCCTTCCTTTTGTTAATTTTGGAAACATCTCTGTGCGTTGATGATAATGAGCCTGTGCATAAATCTTGGTGTAATTAATCCTCTTAATATATGTACTCGTCCATTTCATGTCTGTGCCAATAAAACTTCTTAATTTTTTTTCCACACAAGAATTCTCCTTTAATACTAGTCTGAAAACAGCATAAGCCAAGAAATTCAAGCTTATGATATTAACTCTTCCAGGTGTCTTTAGGATTTAGTAGCTTGGATTAAATTTCACTGGATAATAAATGCAGGCCTAGGACTAAGCATGCAGACAGTGCTGGGACATCTCATTTTGAGAGCTGTTTTCTAGATCAACATTTTACCATTTTATCTACCTAATGGGCTGTTATGCTGAACACAGTGACTACAGTGATGGTCCAACTCGATTCAGTTTCATGTGCTGTAACCCCAAAAACATTAGATTCTGGACAGTGCAGCAAACACAGTGCAACACAGGACACAGTGTCTGAGCTAGGATGTCTGCAAGAGGAAGGAAAAATGTGCCACAGTTGCCTTAATCTGTTCACTGGAGATGCTGATATTTCTTTATGTATTTATTTATGATATCTAAAAGTTGCCAGTTCTCCCATTTCATTGATTCATAAGGAAGACCCTTCTGTTTTCATTCTGTTGCACACCAAGTTGCAATAATTTCAAGTTAAATATAGAATAAAAGCTTCCAAATCAAATCTTAATCTAACATTCAGAAAAATTTGCTTTGAAACATAGAGCTCTAAATACATATTAGCTGTTTTGAGAACCCCTTAATTTAAGAAAGTAGATTTTTATTCCTGAATTTTTAGATGCTTGGTCTTTTCACATGTTGTCGTTCAGGAACACAATCAACTTTAACTGTGCAATTTGTTAAGGAGTTTTCTTGTTAAATCACAAGTACCTTCTCTATTTTTAGGTGGATGCATCAAACAGCAGAGATACTTTCACTTGCATCAGATAATAGAAATCAGGCATTCTTTGAAACTCACTTGGGGATTAAAGGTGACACTGTCATTCTGTGATAGAAATATATAAATGCACAGTATCACACAAGCTAGATTCAGTCAATGCAAATAGGTGCTGAAGGAATTGAGCAGCTGTTTTTTTTTTCTCCAAGTATAGTTGAAATTAAATGCAACAAAATATTATGAATGTAAGATTTTGATTTTTAAAGTGGAAGCCTTTGATTCCCCCTCACCCCTTAGGGTAAAGCTTTAGAAAGTTTCGCTTATTTTTGCAAGCATCTGGGACTACAGGCAGTTGCTGTAGCATGGAAACTATAACTATCCTTCCTTAGCCTCAGGATTAGATGTGTTTTCTCCCACTCCAGACATACCCTTCAGTAGGCTTCTACACTGTGAAATCCAGAAATGGTTTGTGTCTTGAATTTGCATGTTACAGTCTGATACAGATATTCAGGCTTTTTTTTTCCAGCACCTTTTTCCTGAATACAGGCCTGTTTAATTTGCCTTTATTTTGCCCTGAGTTTAAAGGGAAGGATACACCCAAAGCACAGAGTTACTTTTCTAACCAAAATAAAAGATTTTATAGAGCAACTGGCTTTTATTTCTTTCAACTTCAGAGCTTATCCAGTAGTAGTGATCATTTACATCAGGGCAGCAGTTGTCTCTCTGCTGTTGATCATGCACATGGTGGTTTGTAACTCTAGTTCCTGCCTCAAATCACCCAGCCCTGCTTGCTCCAGCACACCAGGGGCTTGTCATTCCTCATTCCCACCCCACTGGGAAGGAAGGATCATGATGCCTCCTTTCATCCCACAGTCTCGTTTTGTCTGTTTTCCTCTGTGTCAGGAGCCCAGTTGGGTGTTGCCATCTTCTCTGAGCCTTTTGAACTTCATCCTGCATGAGCTAGTCCTCCTGCTTCTTTCTGCCTGGGAAAGAAATCCCTGGGGTGTCAAAAGCTCTCTGAGGAAGTTTTTTGTCCCATATCTCCCTCCTTGTTCTCTCAGTGAAGGTTGCCAACTTCTGAGATGCACCAGTTCAGCTGCTCTTTATAGGAAGGAAAGGATTAAGGGAGGAAAATTCTCTGGCTTTTATTTCAGACCATGACAGAGATGGTTTCTTATTTGGTTCAGGTTTTTAATTGTTTATTTTGGTTTTGGTTTGGGTGGGTTTTTTTGTTTGTTTTTGTTTATTTGGGTTTTTTGCTTCTTTAAAATCAGCCATACAAAAACAGCCAAACAAGCTGACAGAAATCATTCTGCTGCCCAGCAGGACAGTGACAGCATGTCCTTAGCTCCACAGGGCTGGTGGGCAGGGCAAGCAGTCTCTGGAAATCACCTTTGGACAGTCAGTAACTAGATTTTTGCTAGTCTGATCCCCAGGGATCCAAGGAGGATCAAGGGTCCAAATGCCCAAGAGGTGTAAATTGGTTCGATAGTTCTCTTGTTCTGCCTTGGGGTCACCATGAGCAGGTAGCACCCTTGGTACCATGAGAGGTGACCCTCTCCTGGGGCAGAGCAAGCACAGAGGCCTGTCCCCTTGGCACTGCTGTGACATTCAGGTGTCAATCACTCACCCATCACACCCTTGACACATGCTGATCTTGCCACATGTGCCTGGCACGTGGCAATCACTCAAACCAGGATGATAAAGGTTGGATCTAAGGAGCTATTGGAGTAACTGAGGCACCAAGAATTTTAGGTACCTACAGGATACAGGCAACTGAAGGTGACTTCAAGATCTGAAGTTGAATTTGTGTTTTCAGGTACATGAAAGCATATTCCCATGTCAGAGTGCAGGCAAAGCCTCAGCATGTCACCACATCCCCACTCACACCAGCACTGTGCAGAGCTGTGTGGTGATGTAGTTCAGCCTCCCAGGAGGACTCTCTGGCTTTGAAGCAGAGCTCTGAAGATACAGCTGCCTTGTTGCCAGGATCTCCTACCTCCTTGGAGACCTCTGCACGTGCCCTCAAGGCTTCTGGAATCTGGGCTTGTGGACTTGTGTTTACCTGAAATAAATGTGGTATAGAAATTGAAATGAACTTAGAAAGTAGCAGAGATAAAATAGATAAAATAGATGACTGGATCCTATGTCTGGAGTGGAAATGATTCCTCACCTCTTAGGAAGTACAGTCAAGTTTCACCTGTTTCATCAACAATCCATCAGCATCAATGCAAATGATCCGAGACCCAAATGACTGGTGAAGGTTCATATTGGTTCATACATTTATTTTATAAATTTATGGGACTGAAAGATTAGTTTATAAAAGTCAAACTGCTGTTCCAGGAGTATATTTTTTTCATGTAGGCTCAGAGTGAAAGTGCAAAACAAAAGTAACTGAATGAACATTTCAGCAATATCCTGATGTCAGCTTGCCTGCTTGTCACCCTAATTTAAAGGTTGCTGGAGTACAAATATGCCTTGAAATTAAAAGGGAAAAAAAAGTGCTTTACAAGAAGGAGACTACATTATTTTTGTTCATCCCTTTTGAATGTGTTATCTTTCACAGCGTGCAGTTCAATAGTTTGTGCACACAGTAGCACAATGCAGAGTAGCTAAATCAACATTTTAAGCCATATTTTATTCTGAAATCCAATTTAGATCATGTAGGTTTGTGAACTGATAGATTTCATAATAATTTCCTGGTATTCGATGGGTCCCATGAACAATGAAAACTGAGAAATGCATATGCAGATATTTGCAGGTGTTTGTGGGAAAGGATACTGTTGTTACCAGCAGTTTTGTAAAGCCATGGCTACATTTATAAAAATAACCAGCATGGGCTTGTTAATAGAAATTGGCTTAAAGGTAGGAAATTAATGAATTTCCACAGTGAAGGTATACTGCTGTTGTCTTCCAAAACTGATTGCGAAACTGGCACTGTAACTGCAAGGAGATGTTTAGTTGACAATCTAATGCTTTCCAGGGGTTTCCACATTCTTACCCACACTCTTTGCTGATACACCTGACATGCTTACACCTCTGTGCAGTTCTATTTTCTCACCCAGTGAAGGGAGAAACTGGCATTTCTTCACCCAGTCTTGCATATGCATATCCAGGTTAAACAAGAAGCCTCAGTTTCATTCCACTTTATAGCAGCTACTTGACTGAAGCATGTAAATGAAGGAGGCAAGTCATCTTTGTAGTCAGTGGAGTTGGAAAGGCACTTGCAGAGGTCAGTTCAAATGTTGGCATCAGTTTCTGGCAGTGCTTGTCTGTCTTCAACATTTGCATAAGGCATTTACCCTTCTATGTGCTGGTGAAGTTTTTCAGCCACCTTTTTAGCTCAAAGTCTGCATGATTTGCTATTAAAACAGTAATTGATGGTTCTACCTTTCAATCAAACAACTGAATGTGGCACAGACAACCTCCCTGCTAAAACCAACAGTAATAAGAGATACTGTATTGCCTTTTTCTTTCCTGTTTTTATTTCTAGCTTCCATTGTCCTGCAGAAGTGGTGGTGTCATATGAACCCCTGTTTGGATGGAGAGGACTGTAAAGTACTACCAGACTATTCAGGTTGGTCTTGCAGCAGTGGAAATAAAGTCAAAACCACAAAGGCAAGTACAGAGATCACCTCTATTTAAAGGTGGCAGTGTGCTGATTGCTCTTGCTTATTGCCTTGCAGCTGTGGGTGTGAGAGCCAGAATTGGCCTTCTCAATGTTTTGCAAAGTGGTGATTAACGTAATTGTTCTCAGAGAGGGAAGTGTTGGGTCAAAACAGCTCCTTCACTACCATCCTAGTTAAGTTAGAGGGTGCTGGAGTCAAGCTGAAGAAAGTCCTGCTTGTGTTTAGTGAGCAAAGAATCTATTCTGTTGTGACTAGTCTTAGAGGGATAATCATGTTCCAGGACCAATTCTTCAATTTGCAGACTGAGTACATGGATATAAAGCCTTTACCAGTGTCACCTAAAGAAAATTTCTGTGCTACTGGAAAGCCCTTTTAACTTTTGGAGGTGCCAGCCTGGCTTGGGAGTTGCTGAGAACCTGCTCTGATGGCAGCAATAACTGTATGACACTGAGCACCACTGGAAATCAGGGTGGTTCAGGTCATTTCTAATTACAGAGCATCCTTCAGATGGCCTGTTTTTTAAAAAAAACCCTTTTCTATGCTATCCTATTTCTTATTAATGGCCAGCAGAGAGAAAACACCATGTCCTCTGCCTGCTTAACTATTTCAAATGAATTCAGTGCATTGAAGTTCGACGAGTCACAGCAAACTGCATGTCTAAATATATCGTAAACCAGGAGTCTTTAGCAGGCAATAGCAAGGAGAGACATATGCTCAGCTTTTCCCTTTACAGCCTCTTCTAGCTGGGAATGAATGTTGTTGATTAGGTTACAGTCTGAGTTAATAAGCAAATACTAACACCAAATGTTGTCTAATAATGGCTGTTCTGAGGAGTGAAAACTGCAGTAATGTCTGGATGGAAGAGAGAAAATGAGATGGTATGGGCAGCTGTAGTGTGCTAGTGGTGGTCTGAAGCCCAGCTGCAGACTGCACAGTGACAGGCTCTCTGGGAACATCTGACCAAGCCAACCAGTCTGAGAAACCCTATTCCTGTTTTGAAGATCAGAGGAAGTGGCATCCCTTCCCAGGGCAAAGGGATAGAAACTAGATGGTCTTTAAGGTCCCTTTCAACCCAAACCATTCTATGATCATTGTGATTTATCAAGTGTCAAAGACCTATAGCCTGTCTGGGTCCTGCTGTTCTCCTGTGATGGATTCTACACCTGAAAGTTGACCTGCAGACTCTGGAATCAGTGTGGATAACTGGCAGTCAGTTATTGCAAGATAAAGATTATCCTCAGCTTTAAATTTTTTTCCCAGGCACTGACTTTTAACTGTATATATATATAGATGAGAGGTGGTGGTGTAGCATCACGCTGAAGGTGGAGATGGGTGAAGTGGGAGCTCTAGATATTGTATAAAACAACATAATCTCTGGACATACTAGGAAAGAGCTGCCAACTTATACCAAAAGGACCTTATTGGAAAAGAATGAGCCTGGGTTAAGTATTCTTGATGCCTTCAATAGATACTAGAGGGATGAGGAGCAGAACAAAGAGCTTTATGTTGGCACTCATGACTGAAGGCCTAAGGCATCAGGTTCTCATTCATGCATCTGTCTCTTCTTATGAACAGTTGCCTTTTAGCTCATCAAGGTCTGCTGACCACATGAGTCATACACCCTGTGCTCATGAGTTTTGCTCTTAGACAGGGAAAAGAGGCAGCCTGAGTCAGTGGGAGTTTACTGATAGAAGGGTAAATCTGGCATGGATCGTTTATTTTATTACCCATGACAAATATTGCAACCAGCAATGTACAGAATCTGGTATTGCATTCTGAGGAGTGTAGGGATGTCTTTATAAAGCAAGAGTGGGACAAATTATCCTGCCTGCAATTAGACCTGTGCAAATTCATCAAAACCAGGGAGTTTGCATGGGGCTAGCAGAGGGCAGGTGTAGCAAGATGAGGGCAAATGTTGTTGCACTAAACTCTTCCTCTATTTTGCTGCAATGTGATGTGCATTTTACACTGACTTTTATCAACATATGAGATTTCTTTCATGGTGAAAGGATAAGCAAGCAACTGGTACTTGTGCTCAGGTGTGAATCCAAGGGGATACATTGGGATTGGTTGTGCCCAGCTGTAGGCAAATTTCCATCCAAGCAGAGTTGTTTAGGATCCTCCAAAGTCACAAGGGAAGAAATGGGTGATCTCACAGCATGACTGTGCCCATCCACAAGAATGTTCCCACAGGTTTTTCTTTCTGTCTCCTGTACCTTCAGGAAGCCCAGGATGACAATCTCACATGTAGATATCTGTTTGCTAGACAGCAAAAGCTGTGCTATAGAATCTATCCTGGCACCCATATTTCCTCTGTAGGTGTTTTGCCTGTCTGGTGGGTGGTTTTCTCTGTCTACCAAGATATAGTTATTGCACAATACAGTGAGCAATGGTAACTCCAGATTTGGAACAGTGTGGCACTGAAATGCCAAACTGGATGGAAAATAGAACGGAAGGAAAAATTCCCTTGTCAACAGGGAAATGAAAGAATGACATCTTATATTTTCATTTTGAAAATACACCAAAGATTTGAGTTTATCTCAGATCAAATAAGAAAATATTTAAGTGTCTATTAAAATTTTACACAAAGAGGACTATGTGAAGTGTCAGACCAGTAGCACAAACCATAGAGCCACTTGTGAGTCTCAGCACTGGGATGAGTAACTCAGACACAGCAAAACCCTTTGGGACAATTACAGAAAATGCTCACATACATTAAATTCTTCCAATTTAATAGTTGCCTTATGTCTAAAACACAAGAGTTGAGATCCAATCCATATTAATTTTTTTCGATGTTATGCGCCAGAGACAATCTCATTACCATTTAAATTTCTAATCAATTTTTAAAGCTTTCTAAGACCCTGGGATCAGTGCTGCTTGGGACAGTGGCTTCCACAGGTTAATTATACACTGAAAGAGGAAATGCTATTTAATCAATTTTAAGTCCTCTATTTTTTCATTCCATGCAAATAAGTGAAAATATTATAGCTCGAAGGATCCGAAGCACAGGAGATGCTGACACTACTCAGTATTTAGATGAATAGTTATTGTCTGAGTGGGACAGCTAAAATGTGAAAAGCTGAGGAGCTTGTATCTTCCCATCAGTTCCCTCAGGGAAGGAAATAAAAACTTCTCTAAGTTGAGTGTCTGTTTAGTTTTGTGACACATCTAGGCACCTCAGAGCAGAGCTGGCGAAGTTTCCTCCTTGCAGGCTGCCTGTTCTCATCCAAATCTGACAAGACCCTTCCTGGCTGTGTACCCAAACCCCTACTGGGTTTGTGCCCTGTGTGTGTGCATCACATCTTGCTCGTACCTCTCTGCAGCCCCTGACTGAGTGAGCATTTGGTTTGAAGGGGAAGAGTCTGCAGGGTCCCATGGGAGAAGTGCTGTCTGGGAGAGATTTCTGCTGCAAGAACAATTTATCCCCTTTTGCCGACCATGTGCTGTCTGGTCCCTAGTTCCATAAGATGGACCACAGGGAATGGATAGCAGTTTGCATGAATGGTCTTTAGGGATGTAAATTGTACACTTGAGCTGTAGGCATTGGTGTTGAAAATGATGTGAAGCAAAATAAAAGAGAAGGAGATTTCCAGGAGATGTTGGTGGCAAATTTAATAGTGAACAGCCATTTCTTTATTTGAAAATCTCCCTTATGCTATTGAATTATGCTAGTGCCCAGGGAGGCTGTGGCTGCCCCAACCCTGGCAGTGTTCAAAGCCAGGTTGGATGAGGCCTTGAACAACCTGGTCTAGTGGGAGGTGTCTCTGCCCAGGGCAGGGAGTTGGGACTAGATGATCTATAAGGTCCATTCCAACTCCTAAAATGCTATGATTCTATGACTAACAGTGTAATTAGCATTTACCTAGAGATTCTGCTTCTCTGCAAGGTATAAAGGTGTGGCTGTTGTGAGTTCATGATGCATTTGTGTGTACAGTTCCTTTGCAGCAACAAAGCACATGTTATCATCCTTGTTTGACCAGTTCGGTGTAGGTAATTATTTTGTTTTCTTTTACAGGTGACACGGTAGCAAAGACTGAACCTGTGGGTCACTACCAGAACAATGACATGTGGAACTGTTCCTTGGCTGTTACACAGAGACCTCTTTTTGTCATGATGTTATTGACTTAATTCTTTGAACTTACAAAATTGTTTGGCAAAAAGGACAACAACAACCCTTCTCCTTTCAACTATGACCGGAGATCCTGAACCTGGATTTTGCTATACAGTGGAACATTATAATTTCACAAGGAAAAATCAAGGAGATATGGTTCTCCCTGAAATGGATTCCCAAGGATTTGAGACCTGGCTGAAATTTGTGGAAGCACATACTTGAACTTCTGTGGTGCATCAAGGACAAGACTTTCTTAATGACACTAAGATATGTAAAACTGTTTTCAGTGAGTTTAGATCATGAATGTTACCTAGGGGGTCACAGAAAGAAAATGCTTAGGTTGGAACTGTTACAGATGATCTTAAATGTGTTTTCCAACCTAAATTATTCTATGGATTTGTCTGAGGTTCCTCTCTCATACAATACAACATAAAAACACAAAGATGATCCAGATGCCAAGTGAGTTGACAGGACCATGTTAATAGATTATGTCTTAGTGTATTTTCAACTGTGATTTAGTAACTATCAAGGTTATATGAAGGTGAAAAGATGGAACTTACAGAATCAGTAGCAATTATTGTAGGGCATACTTTGGTTCTAGCTGTGCAATTAGATTTATTTCCTTAGATAGTTCTAGGTAGTTTAACTTTTACATTCATAAGTGATGGCAGGAAAGCATGAGGAAGAGATAAAATTTGAAAGCAGGCATAGTTTTTCTTGTCCTAAAATAAATCCATTCTCTAGGGGAATAGCAAAGTATACATATTCCTTGCCTCTTTGAATCTAGATATGGGAAAGAATTTAGCCATTAGCTAGAAATATTCATTCAGATGCCTCAAAAATAGGAGAGCAGCCTTGTACTGCATAAGGGAGACTTA